CAATTGAACCTGTTACCCCTGATTACACATACTAGGAACTTGACAAGCAATTAAGAGTAAGCCTATCATCATTTTTTTTTTGTCTCCCATTCGATATTCGATAGTCGTATTGGAACTCGACTAAATTCAAAATTTATGGGAAAGTCTCACACTCGATGCTAATGGTAAGCTCTCGCCAATAAAGACAACTACCTAGAAATCGAACTCGAAACTTCTAATTAAGGATGAATGAGTACTTATCAGTTATCACTCCACCCTAACCTTTATTGGTGCCTTTCATCATTTTCATGTTGATTGAGATTGAACTCATTATTAACTGGGGAAAGTGGTATCCACCAAATTGTGTAGTTAAAAAGGTCTCTTAAGTCTTTGTAAAATCGTTATTTGTAAACCATATATCCATTACTTTTTGCTAGGTGTACTTCCAACCTTTTTCTCTTTTTTGAAATATCTGCTCTTTCTCAAATCATTTCTTGATTCCTAGTACACCAAATCTTCACTGTCTCCCCAGCTATTAACTAGTCCATGTTGTTTGATATTCCACCAAAGAAGAATCTGATATAGGATCAATTTTTTGTTTGTTTCTTAATTAAAAAATTGGTAGATGGGTCCCAGATATCACTAAGTATTCATAACCATGATGCATAATTATTAATATATTATCATTTGTTACCCAAAAAAGTATTTTACTGATAGCTCTTTCAAAGCCTACCTCAAGAGTAAAAAGTGGCTGTCAACATTTACGGTAATTGTTAATAATAAAGTAATAACAATGATTTGTTGTAGAAACCTTGAAACCATATCTTCCATGTCACTAGTTAATTCTTTGACTTTTCCACGGAATACACTTGGTCTTTTTTGTAAGTAATCCTGCAAGATTCTGTGTACAAAAACAAATCCTTTTGTTGCTTCTTAGTATTGAATTAAGTAATTCCCATTTGGTTGAGATTCTAAAGTATTATGATTACTGGATCAAATACTTTTTTTTATAAATCGTAATACAATTGATTGGCGAGCTCAAGATAGTCTGCTGGCTAAAACAAATACCAAATATTTGCTTGTTTTAAATTTGTTCAAAAGCATAAGAACCCAATTTCTCTTACATGTTTACATTTTGCATAAGATAGTAATTCAGCTACGCCATTTATCTAAGATGAGACTAGTCAAGGATGGACAACTGGAATTGCAACTAACTAAAGAGCAAAAGAGAAATATATTAAAATGAAACAAGGGCCAGTTGGATTTTGACATATAAAAACGGTTGTCAGCATTTCAAGATGATTGAACTTAAAATTATTGAGAAAATAACATTATTTTCTTTTGCAGAAAACGTATTAAGTTATATGTCAAAATCGAAGTTGCCTATTGCAAGTGTAGCCACTTGATTTCTCCTTGTGTACTGCTACTAGTACTAGTCATTTTCTAAGGGCAGTAATCCTTTAGATTGCTAGCACACAGCCGAAGATGAGATGATTGGTACTTTAAGATGTAATACTCAAGTGGTAGCTAGTAGATGGAACATGAATCATCTTGTGCATAGTTTAATGCAACAGTTATAAGGGATGGATGGATCATGAGCCATTTTCTTCGGGTCTGAATTTTGAACTACCAGAGCCTAACCTTATAATCGAAGGTCTCAAGTTTGATTTGAGGCGACTAAACTTTAAATAACGATGGCTACACACACTTGTACCTCGGTATGGTCATGTTATAATTAAATAGTAAGTAAAATCAAGAAGCAATCAATGGCTTAGTCACTTCTCATCACATCAATTAAAGATGTATCTAGCACCAACGAAGATATACTTCTTGTCAATTTAGAGAATTCATTCTTACTACCATGACCATCTGTAAAGAAAGTATAAGCATTTTCCTGGTTGTATTCAAATCCTTAACATACTCACAAAAGAGGGGGGATTTATTTTGGACAGTACTTAGAATAAATGTCTGCTATAAGCCTCTAACATAAATGACAGATACTTTGTCCCCAAATCAGTGATCTAAGCACCAAAAAGATCCAGGTGAATCAAAACCCTTTATATCGTAAATTCGTAACCTAGTAGTTGCTAAACAGTAGAAACAGTCTTGCAAGCAATGGAGATTAAACATCTCACTTTCAATTCAAGTAAACATCCTACTGTATCTAAGGAAAATTAAAGCAAAGAAAAGAAGATAATGCACATGCCATGCCAAATATCAATTGCCATTCACCAACTTAGTAAAGAGAAAACTGCTCAATGCCTCAATTGCTCATGCTTCACTTCACTTGTCAATCGCCAAACCTAACTCCATAAAAGGGGCTGCCCGGTGCACAAAGCATCCCGCATTCACTTAGAGTCCAGGGAAGGGCTGCACCCCAAGAGGTGTGACGTATGCAGCCTACCCTGATGCAAGTATCAGCCAAACCTAACTCTATACAACTATTTAATAGATTCAATAAAATTTTAAAATGCAATTCGCCTCTTGGTTATGTAATTTGGACAGAAGTTGCGGCGCGAATAGAATTAGAAGGGAAGCAGGGAACCCTATAGTGACTTACAAGAGAAACCCAAAGCAGAAAGAGACTATTGAAAGGGTGATTTTACAGGGTTAAGACTTGAGTCCTACTTGAGATGAATTGAGACTTGCTGGTACATAAGGAAAGAAACTGAAGCAGTCTGCATTAGAGCTAATTGAAGATATTACTAGTGTTGAAGTGCCGACAAATTTTTGCAAAAACTACTTGCAATTCTAAAATATAAGGCATGTCACCTCTTCTTCAGTGCGCCTATTTGCCTTTCCTCTGTAAACGTTAAGTACGGAATGTAACTTGTAAGTGTACATTTAAATCTAAAGACTCAAATAAGATATGTAAATAACTAGTGGAATGAAAGAAATCAAAATTTAGTTAAAAATTACAGTGTTTCAAGAAGAAACTTCATTAAAAAGATATTGAAGTTGCAACTTAGTAGTTGCAATTTCATTTTGTACCACTTAGGTGCAAGGTTTCAATCCCACAAAAAGTCCTTTAATACTTCTACCTTTCGCTCTCCTACTATATGTCCACAAACCACCATCACCAATAACTTTTTTTTGAGAAAGTAACTTTATTATTGATTTCTTTCCATCTGTCCAAACCTTGGTGGACAGAGTTACTAGTAGTTGTGTTGGTGGGAGATAGCAGGGTACCTCGATGAATTAGTCGAGGTGTGCGGAAGCTGATCCAAATACCACGGTTATAAATAAAAGAAGTTCATTATGAAATATACTATAGGTCTTTTACACTTTTACCTTTCCCTCTCCCACACTATGTACGAACCACCAACACCCAGAACAATATAAGAAAAGTCACTTCATTACAAATATATATTTCATCTACATAAAATCACTCAGAGACTTGATCTATATCATCAAACAGGATGAGAATATCTTGTTATAAGTACTACTAATCATTTTCTGATTATTTCTGAGAACCCTAGTACAAAAGTAAAAAACTTGCTGATGCTTCCTACTCTATAGCTAATCCCATTGAGGCTTGCTGAATTGGAGAAATTGCACCAGGATACTCTTCTTCACTATAAGATGGACCAACGGGCACGTTCAGTGTATGTAGTATGATACAACAGACAGAATCAATTTGCGAATCAAGTTTAAGCTTAGGTAATATTTTTGTGGCTCGTATTAAAGCAAGATAATCTTCATAGATGCTACCAAATCTTTGTTAAGTAGTACTACTATTTTAAGAGATAGTAGTACTACAACAATTGTACTGATAACGATTGTTCTCAATCTCTCCATTTAGAACCTTACTTTTGTATGAAGAGTTGTCTTCCCTTTTTGTTTAACTTTAACTATTTTTAATATTTGTAATAATTAAATTAGTTAATTCCTTATCTTTGTTCGTAAAGTACGTACTTATAACCACTTCTACTGCCCTATGTCCCTATCTAGCTGTGGGCTGGACTACACTTGTAAATTGTGACAAGGAGGATCCAAGATCTCAAAAAATAAAGAAAGAAATCAAGTAGACCTTAATAACAAGTATTTAGGTGCTAATCTGTTAAAAATAGAAGTTAAAGGGTAAGAGAAGAAGAACATTGAAAAAATAAAAAGCTACAAAAGTGTACAGCAATAGGTTAATCACTGACATTTATCCTACTCATAGTAGATAAATATGTAAGATTAAGTGTGAATCCCCTTTTTCAACTGATAGGTTCAAGTTTCACTCAATTTGGTGTTGAACCAAATACTCAAAACTTTAAAAAAAACAACTAAATGGATTAACTCGAACAGTTCTGAGCAGCAGCTGAAAACCCTAAAGCAGAAGTTTACTCAACTCATGATTCGATTATAATCCAGAACTTTAGTTTAATTTGCAGCTTGCGGGGTGGTTTCTTGTGCTTCATTCTACTCTTGGGTACTAGCAAAAGTTTCAAGATATGCAGATCTGAAAAGGGGCAAATCTCCAACCCCTAGTACATGAATATGAAGAGTTCGGAGAGATCCAAAATCCTCATCCAAGAGTAAGCCAAAACTAAGATGCGATCAGTCTAATTGGTGATTTCCTCGACAACCATTCTAAACCCAAATACATTTTCTTTCCTGACACAAGATTACTACCATAGACCTTTGGTAGGACACAGTAGATGACAGCTCCAATAATTGCCACGGATGGATCCATGGATATAGCTAGATACTGCTAGATATTCAGAATTTGATCAAGAAAACTGCCGTTCTCAAAGCTTCTAAGCCTTCTGCCTAGTTTTAACCACTTTCCATTTCTTTAGCACTAAGTTCTTTTTCTGTTGGTTCACCCTCTTGTCTTCTTCCCATGTGGTGTTCTCAATTCTGCACTTTTACATCCTAACTTACTAAGGTTTTTAAGACAAATATGCCTTCACATTCAAAGTTGATAAAATCAAACAATTCCAACGACCTACATGACAAGTTTATGTCTTTCATTAGATTTAGTTTACAAACTAAAATATTTATGCTATTATATCACAAAAGAGTCAGTCTCGTAGATAAGTATACTACACTTCTTGAAGAAACAAATAACATCAGTCACTTCTAGTTGACTCTTAAGTCTTAATTGCATAAGGTCTCCACGATCACTAATAAAACATCAACTACGCTATATATAACACTAACAAAGTTTCTAAAATTAAGAAAATGTATAATCGAAGAAGCCCTTTCAGGCGGGCATGGTATATACATTTTTTGAAGCCAGGAGTATGCGTCATACTTCAAAAATTAACCAAGCATGCAAATATTTTGACATTCTGGGTAAGTTGTTACTAACTTGGTATGTTCATCAAACAAATTGTCATTCTCCTGAAATAAGTAATGTCGGAGGCTGGATATTGGAGTGCTGAGCTAATAGCAATTCTTTTAACTGCTTCAGTTCTTTCACATCATTTTCTATGGTACACAAGCGATCTTTCAAAGATTTGTTTTCCTCTCGAGTTGAACATAGTTCAAACCGTAATTCAGCCTTTGAGGAAGTGCCCCCTTTCAAGTCTTTCGCCTTTACTCCACCCCCAAATCCAAATACATGGCTACGAATTTGAGGTCCAAAGCATTTCTCTACAATCTCTATGCTAGGAAGAGACGGTTCGGATTGCACCAATTCTTGGATTTGAGCCTACAAAATACAGAGAGATTTCTGTCAGAACCAATAATAAGTAAAAGTAACATGTCCAATTAACAACACGCACATGTTTTTCGATTGTTTCAGAATCAACAAGCGTGTTATTCTTCTTGCGAGTCTCAAAGAAAATAGTTGCCAAATCTGGTGGTTTGCCATCTTTTCCGCCCTTTACATCAAAGTAAACATGTCAAATAATGCCTCACCAATATCTTTAAAAAAAGAATGGAGATCTTATGGTAACACCTTTTGATAAATAATCTCTCTAATTGGCTTGCTACCAATATGATGAGGCATCTTCAACTTAGCTCTATTTGCTGCGTTCCTATTGCTTCTCGCCTAGCATAACAACATTTAGTCTATGTGTCATAAATAAATTCTCGATTAAAAGATAATAGTAGTAGTATGTTAATGAAATTGCATAACTAGGTCTTATGCCAAACCTGAAAACTTTCTGTAGAAAAATGTTCCGTTACCAACCACTCCCATTGTTTCTTGTCTAGCCCCTTTGGCATATTATTAAGAGCCTCTTGGACTGGCTTACCCTTCACATACTTTGCATGCAACTGTCCTCTCCATTTGTTCCATAATTCTTTCATCCATCCCAAGATATGATCGCGATGAATATCCATGTCATCACTCTCAAATTTATCCTACAATAAATCAAACATAGGTTGAACTGCCATACAACCACAACAACAACGACCTAGTGAAATCCCACAAGTGGGGTCTGGGGAGAGTAGTGAGTACGCAGACCTTACCCCTACCCCGAGAGGGTAGAGAGGCTGTATCTGAAAGACCCTCGGCTCAAGAAGACAAAAAGAAGACGAAAAGAGGCAATATATCAGTACCATCAATAGAAACCATAAAACAAAGAATAGCATCACCAGAACCAGAAGATAAGTGAAAAGCAAAACAATAACCAATAGATATAGGTTGAACTGCCATATGCAATGAAATTAGAGTTGGTATTTGTCCTTTTCTTTAATCCTAGCTCTTTAATACATTCTTCTGCGAAAGCTGTCCTGCTTTTAAAATTACTTTAGAAGAAGTGCTTGCAGAAGTTCCTTGTTAAACAATGAGGTAAAAGTATTTTTATCTGGAAAAGTACAGAGTATGTGGAAAGCCCTTTGGAGCAGAAGGAATTAGTAATATAATGACATGACAGAAAGAAGACATTAGTCATTCTGAGTAACTTACGAAATATCTACAAAATTAAAGAACCAAAGATGCACTAATTTTTAAATACTTCAATTTAGGAAATGATAATAGGAATAAACCCACACATCTGAGTGAATATGAGACCATATTGCTACCCAAAGAAGCCGCTTGATCCATCACTCCATCCTTCTAATTACTTTCCTCTTGCTATTTTTTTCTTTCTGGCTACTTCAATCATGCTCCTCTTCTCTTGCCAACATTAGAATTCCAGTAACTTTTCCGTGCATTTACCTTTCCTTATCGTTTCCGCTTTTCAGCTTTGAAAGAGCTTTGTGCTACTGAAACAAAAAGAATCTTTTTGTTTTCTATGCACAACTACAAAGCCCAGACTACAGTAAATCAATAGCAGATATATGCTTTCTTAACACTAATCAGAATAAATAAAAATCACTAGCAGAACCTCTATTTGCAAAAAAAAAAAAAAAAAAAAGAGAGAGAGAAACCTTTTCAGGGTTAAGGATCTAATTAGGAGCTACAGGCTTTAGTAGAGCAAGTTAAGGCCACATTATAAATCCCAAGTAACAAATGAAAACGCATTTTCCAGATGAACTTTAGCAAATAGCCCATTGGCAAATTGGATACATTACCGTAACAGCTGCCCACATGTGATTTAACTGTTCTTCCTTAATGTCATGCCACGATGATACTCCTAATGGACACAAATTACGGTCACGAACTAATTTTCCCAAGTGCCTTGAAAACAGATTGCTATTCTTTCCAACTGTTCGATTGTTGTAAAATGTTACTTTCAGCTTCTGTCCAAATTCAAGTGACGCAACTTCTTTGCACTTGTTCCTTCCTCGAACTTTTTTTACCTTTCCAGTAGTAGATGAACCTACATGTGCATACTTTAGAAATGTCTGAAAATATCGTACAAATAAATACATTTATGGTCATATAAGAGCCAAACTTCATACTTGAAATCATTTAGTACAACTTTAGCATTAAAATTCAGTTCTACAAATTAATAACGCATTAGACGTGAAAACCATACTTGTTTCAACTGATTGATGTATTGCATACCTTGATCAATAGGTGGAGGCAATGGAATATCAATTTGCATATGCTCTTTCTCGAGTAGATGGCGGCAATGGGCTATCAGTTCACAGTCCGACTGCGGCTCACCTAAAATTTCGCCATGGTGATACCAAAAAGTATAATTTTGAATTATTCCATATACTTTCAAATGTGACTCAACTGTCTCACGTGTCCCTAAAGTTGTGTTACAACATTTGACACAAGGACATCGTATTTCGTACAGTTCCCCTGTTCTTCTAAAAGCATAATCCAAAAACTTTTGCACCCCGATTGAGTAGGCTTCATCAAGTCGATTATCAACAAGTTGCATCCATTGCTTACTAGGTGCCATAACCTTGGAGGATACATTAAAATGTGATTAGAAAAAAGATATAGGATAACAAAAGTACTACGATGCACATAACTTCTTATGGAATCTCAAAAAGACGTAAAATTATTCAAAAGATACATAAAGTTCATATTCTTGAGTTTTTATGCAATCTCAAAAAGACATATAATTATTCAAAAGGTATATACAGTTCAGAGTCTTGAGTATAAGTACAAAGGTTCGCATTGTCAATAAGGTCAGTTTTCTTTCTTGTACATCCTTTTGAAAAGATAGAAAGGAAAGGGGAAAAACATCAAAATCCCTTTCTTTTCACCATTTTCTTTTGTGGGCTTTATGCATACTCAGAGGATTCAAGGCTGATGGAGAAATATTTGTAGAAATTAAAAACACTGACACTTTCTTCAACTTTTTCGGAGTCCCTTCAAATTATGATGGTATTTTTATTGATTGCGAAGCAACAGGGAATTAACAAATGAAAAGACTAAACGACTCTTCATTCATAAATATCCCTTCGCGTGAAATAGCGTAAAAACTTGAAATTGATTTGTTAGGTAATTTGTATCCTATTATTGTCCTTCCATACATTTTAATATTGGGTAGCTTATGAGCATCTCATTATGAGGATTGCACAAAGTGTCTCCTGGTCTATATTTCAGGCTTGATAAAGTCACTTTTAGAAGACATCCTGGTTAAAGAGACTTCTTCTACACATTTCAACATAGTTAGACACGTTAAGTGAAGCAGATCTGCCATATAGATTAGTCCATTTTACTTTACATGTTAAAATAATACAATAAACGACTGTCCATTTTCTCTGTTTTTGATAACGCTGGTGTCTGGACCAATTTGTGTGCATCTCGACTATTCAACCCAATACTTGTTACCTTCCACCAGTACAGGCAGAGGCGGAACCAGAATTTAAAGCTTATGGGTTCGGTAATTTAATCATTTTAAGTTTCTGGGTTCTCAATTAATGATTTATACACATTCAGTGGAATTTTAAAGATAAAATACAGGATTTGAACCAAAGTTATCGAGTTCGGCTTAAAGCCGTAACTTATACATTGGCTCCGCCCCTGCACAAGTAATGCATAACTTTGCACACTAAGGTTTAGGCAAAAGAATCACCTAGTGTTTTTTGCTTTCTGCTGTGACATTTTACTTTACAAGAAAAAATTCAAACCCTTAGATAAGAGAACAGAACATAAAAAAAGTCATAAGAAATAAGGTTTTAGGGTTCAGCTGCGAGATAAATATATGATACATATATCATTGTAGCACGCAATTCACTTTGGAATTTACTAATGGTTGAAGATTAGAGTAACATGCTTCAATAAGTGAGACTATTTGGCTGGCACTTCGGACTCAGATTTACGATTTTGAGCATTTCGCAGTGAAAATGGTAAAGCTAAAAAATTCTTAACTCAGTAAAATTTATCAGATGCGTTGTAGGAACCTGAAAGAGTAGCAAAATTATAAGATGTTTTGTAAAGCAACCACACCTTCGACTCCCAGAAACAGATTTCAATTCAGCAGTTGAGAGAAATATGGAAGAGTGGATTATTAGATTGAAAGATTAGGGTTTAGGGATTTTACCTGCTTTGACCCTCCAGAGAGATGAGCGGGAATTTGAGGGGAAAAACGGAGAGTTTTCTCTTTTTCCAAAAAAACAAAAAAGAGTAAAGTAATTTCTCTCTGGCGCTCAATTCATTATGTTAAGGACCAGATATTGAATTTAGGGACCAGTTTTTTAATCAATTACAAAATATTGATAACAATTGATCCTGTTTCTTGTAGGGATTTTTACATTCCTATACCACATAGGAAACCTTTTTACCCTACATGTTTAAGGTTTGAGTAAATTACATTTAGTATACCAAATTACCAATCATATACCATGCTTAATTAGGGGTCTAATTAATGGGCTGTTTTTACTCCTTAATTAAAGGTATCCATATCTAATTAATGGGCAGTTTTTACTCCTTAATTAAAGGTATCCATATATCTCACGTTTCTCTCTCCTTACCCCTCACCCCCTCACCCACGTTTTTACCCATACCCCACATTCTTTCTTGTTCTTCATCCACGATTGCAAGATCAATCAACGAAAGATGTCCTTGAGATGCATTAGCCAGCGAAATCTCATTATATTTGAATGTCGTGCCAATTTCCTCTGCAACAATTATTTTGGGGTACCAAACAAAATTTCCTCTTCTGGAAAAGTCAAAAATGAAAATTTATTGGTAAAGAGACTAATATGAAAAGCTGCTGACAACTTCTCCAAACGACTTAGAAATACTGACTGTTGAAGCCCTCACCTAGATTTACTGTTTGTCGTGTATTTTGTAGTGTAATTGCAGTGTAATTGTAGTGTAATTGTAGATTTAGTGTAATGGATATGATCTGTTGAAGCCCTCACCTAGATTTACTGTTTGTAGTGTAATTGTAGTTAGTTTGTAGTTTATGTAGAACATTCCACGATTAATTGTAGTCTAAAATGTAGATATAATGTAGACATGATTGTGGATGATGTGTTTCCTGTTTGCCCTGTAACTGTAGGTAAATTGTAGTTATTCTTATATTAGGTACTTAAACTGTAGGTAATTTGTACATTCACTGTATTTATTCTTATATTAGGTACTTAAACTGTAGGTAATTTTTAGATGTTTACCTCCAAGTTCTATGTAATATTTGTATATAACTGTCAGTTGAATATAAATTACACAACAAAAAATAAGAAATAAATACTCCAATCGTAGAAATGTGTTATCCATAATTAATCTACAAATTGTCTACAAAATTTTACAAAAACTACAAATTAACTACATTTAACCTACATTATAACTACAATCTGGAAACAATTTACACATGGAAGTTCTTCAAGTTGGAATTGGCTACAACTATATTTCTTGTTTTCTGGACACACAATGTACCGCTTCACACCATCCAACACAGTATGTATATGATCTGTTGAAGCCCTCACCTACATTTTCAGAACAAACACAAAGAAAAAAGTTTTACAATATTAAAAATATAGTATCTACAATATATCTACAATTTATCTACAAATTAACTACAAACTACAAGTAAACTACAATTTGCCTACAATATATCTACAATCTGGAGACATTGTATATTAAAATATTTTTTTCCTGCACCAAATAAAGAACTTGTAGTCAAATTGTAGATATATGTAGTAAATTTGTAGATAATATCATAAAACTAAAATTCTAAGCATTTTCGAACTACACAAACCTGCATTCTCATCTACCACAATGGCATCAACTTCAAAATCTCTAAATCTGCCATAGTTATCCCAATTCCCATTCAATTTTAGCATTATTGGGATTTTTGACATGATTTCGTGTAGTTGAGAGAAAAAAGATGAAGAACAGATATAGGTTCGACAATTTGAGTACTGAGGACGATGAAGAACAATTTTGAATTCTACAATTTGTATTGCGTTGTTGAAGCTTCTGAAGCTCTGCGTTGTTTTTGAATTGTAGTGAAAGAGAGAATTACGCAGCAATAAGATCTCTTTCCGTTTCAAATTTCGAATTTAATGTGGAAAGAATCAAACGCAGATTTTATGTCTTTTTTTTTCGCGCGTTTTAAATGGCAGAATCTACCTAATTATGGATTGGTATATAAATTGTAGTTAAAGTATGGATTGGGCGGGTAATTAATAAATTATGCACATTTTTTGTAATAAGGTTTCACATATGGTATAGGAAGGAAAAAATCCCTTTCTTGTAACTGAGCTGGCCCATGTCCGGACCGGTCCGATCCAGTAAAAGAGAGGACTGAAAGTCTGAAACAAGTAAAAGTAGCATAGGCTAGCCGGTTTTCGGATTGGTCATTTAAAAATAACCAGTTTATAAAGTCATTGAAAAATAGCCATTATTTTGCTGCAACAGGGACCGGTCCATCATAATATACTGGAGATTGGAGCACCTGTACATGAACTTCCAGCATATTATGCTCGAACTCCAACACGCCGAAAGTTCCAGCATAATATACTGGAGATTGGAGCACCTGTGTATGAACTTCCAACATATTATGCTCGAACTCCAACACGCCAAAAGTTCCAGCATAATATACTGGAGATTGGAGCACCTGTGTATGAACTTCCAGCATATTATGCTGGAACACGCGGAAAGTTGCAGCATAATATACTGGAGATTGGAGCACCTGTGTATGAACTTCCAGCATATTATGCTCGAACTCCAACACGCCGAAAGTTCCAGCATAATATACTGGAGATTGGAACACATGTGTATGAACTTCCAGCATATTGTATTGGACCGGTATATTATACTGGAATTCCGGTATATTATGCTGGGGTTCCAGTATACTTATGCTAGAACTCCATTATAATATGCTATAGTTCAGTATATTATGCTGGAGTATTTCTGGATTTTGAACAATCGTTCAAATTTATCTTTACGTGAAAAGTGGCTAAAATTCGATTATTTTTGAAATTATGGCTATTTTTGAATGACCACTTGTAAATCTGGCTATTTTTTAATTTCTCCCCTGATACGACCCATAATAGATCGGTTGGGGTTCGGCTGGGGATATCATGGAGGGGGGCTGGGCCGACCAAGGTATTAGGCCTGGTAGACCAGCCAGGTGCTAGCCAAGGTCTCGGTCCACCATTGCCAGGTCAGTAGCTAATTTTTATTTTTTTATTTTTGGCCTAATAATATTAGTAAATTAGTCTAATCTAATTCAAAGTTTTAAATTATGAGTCAGTAATAAATTGGCAGTAGAAGATAAAGCTAGTTATGAATGGTTGAAGCTTTAAACAGCTATAATTTGCGATCATTTGTCCATTATTTCTACAATATAGAAAAAGCAAAGATGGTCGACCAAGGCAGCCTTGTCATTATACCTACCACCATCTTTGTCTTTTTGATAAGAAATAACAATTTTCTACATCTACAATATAGAAAAGGCAAAGATGGTCGACCAAGGCAGACTTATCATTATACCTGCCACCATCTTTACCTTTTTGGTAGAAAATAATAAAAAAAATAAAATTTTCCAAAAATCTATACAATATTCTGGAAGTCTCCCCAATTTCATCTGCTTTTTTCTCCAACCAAACCCAACATCCTAGAAGTCTCCCCCAGTAGAAATATATTTACTCCCAGTCGGTACATTTTGAAAGACTTGCATAAGATTAATTCTTCTTCTCCTCGAGGTCAGTTCTTTAATCTTCTTCCAGTTCTTTCCAAAAAAAATAAAATAATTTCATGTTCAATGAGTGTTCCAATTCCAGATCTGATTTTCTTCCACTTCTTTCTCTCAAATTTTTTTTCCAAACCTGCTACCATTTTCAAATTTCATGGCTGAAATATATGGATTATTGTATTTGAAAGAGATTATTTATGTCAGATTATGTCCCCGATGTTCTTTGGCTTAACTTCTTTCTTCTGTTATTTCTGTATGATCTTAATTTATGTTGAATTTTAGTATTAATAATGTCTACTATATAGAAAAGGCAAAGATGGTAGAAATTTGAAAAAACAGAAGTATGAGGGAATTGCTGAAATGAGAGGGAAAAAAAGGATTTTTCTAAAAACTTTTGTATTAGAGATCCAAAGAAGAGAGTTTTAACCAAAAGAGAGAAAAAAAAGACTCAATAATAACTGGGGGAACTACTTTTACGATGGTGGACCTTGTAGAAATCCTAATTGTCCATGACCATGATTCTAAGTGTTTCTAATTAATATTTTTTTTTTTACTCTTTTGATGTAGTAAAATTGGTAATGTAGACATCGAATCCTTTGTATGGTCATTGTTTTATTCTTTATAAAACTTTTATTTTTTAGGGGCTAAGTTAGTGCAAGCAAATGTGTATCGTCTTTGGTCTTTGTATGAAAGTTTTTCACCTTTTTTAGGCCTCCCGTCTCTACATAAAAATGTTGTTGGGAAGAGAATGGAGAGGTGATAATTCCACTTTTAGATGTAAAATTGTAGCTGTTTGTTTGCTCCTGTCTTAGGAGCCATCTGTTTATCAATGTATGAGATTTATATGTTGTGGTTTTCCCTTTTAGTATTTGTGAATTTTGGAAAACATGAAGACTTCTCATGGTAAAAACTTCTATATTAGAGATCCAAAGAAGAGAGTTTTCTTTGCAGGCTGCCTCTCTTTTCCTCTCTTCTTTTACATAGTTACATTATTTTTTTTTACTTCAGCTTTATAATTAATGTTTCTTTGTCATCGTTCTTCTGTGTAATATTCAAATGTATTTGTTAGTGTTAGTTCTCAGAAATGGCTGGCAATAAAAAGTTATTGTTGGTTAGTTATTGGTAATTCAACGTATTTATCGGCTAATTGTTGCTATGACTTCTTTGATCAAAAGTTGTTGGCTATATTTGATGAGTCCATACCTATACACTAATTTATTTTCTCATTAGCCTGTAAATAAAATATTTTTTTCCCTCAGCATATAGAAACCACTTATACGAGATCATTATTGACGGTTTCCTATTTTGGTTTGTTCTGTTTTAATTACAGGTTTTGCTCTTTGTTGTGTTGTAATAACTGTTTGTTCGTGCGGTTTAGTAGCACATCACTGGTGGTAAGTACTGTTCTTTTGCTGGATTTAATTTTTTTCACTTGCCTTCTTCGTATTAAGGAGGTGTTGGCCATTTTATTCATTTCATGTCGTCTCAATCATACTTTTAACTCTTTTCGATTACAAGGTAATATATTCTATCCAAAATTATTATGTAGCTATGCATATAATAGAAATATCTTTAGTTGAGATGCTTTACTTTGTGGTATATGCCAATACAATTTAACTTACATACCTTGTCCGTATATCATTCATCAATGATAAACATATAGCTAAAATTATAATTTTTCCTTTTTTAAGCACCGGTCATTAAAAAGATATTCAGGCAATAGAAAAGCTGCCTTAATAGCGGATAGAAATCATGAAAATGACCAGACCTTTGGAAAAACACGTGATGACAAAAGGGCTAGGAGACGCGAATTGTATAGACTTATGCCACCTGATAAAAAAGAGGCCATTTTGGCACGACGACGTGCAAACAGAGCTGAACTGAAAAGACGACGGCTGACTGCTTACTGAAAGTTTAATTAGTGTTGATACTGCTAATGCATCATCCTCTAATGCTGCCAATGTTTCTAACAACCAGAGGTCTCTTAATATAAAAGACTCATTGCCTTTTTCAAGAAGAACAGGTAAGATTAAAATTCAAAATGTGTTTAAACTACATCTATTAAGAACAATAGTAATTACTTCTTTTCTAGGTTAATAATCTCCTCATAACTAGAGTTCTCATATGCAGGGTATGTTTTCACAGAACCTGGTTGTTCGAGTAGTATGCAAGCAGAAAATACGTATGTCAAATTAAAAGATGTACCGAAATGCCAATTTTGTGGAGCAAAAAAGTTTGAATATGAACCGCCTGCATTTTGTTGTGGCAACGGTTCTATTCAATTAATATCCCATGAAATGCCAACAGAGTTAAGAAACCTTTATATAGGAAATAGTGAGGAATCAAAACATTTTCGAACTTGCATTAGAACATACAATAACATATTTGCGTTCACATCCCTTGGAGTAACATATGACAAAGAGCTAGCAAAGAGAAATAATGGTACTTATACCTTCCGTGTTCAAGGGCAGATGTATCACTTTATAAATGACTTGATACCAACTGATCAAAAAGGAAAAAAGCTTCAGTTATACTTCTTTGATAGTAAAAATGAAGTAAGAAACCGAATGACATGTTCAAACAAACTGAATGAAGATATTGTAAAGAGTTTGACAGATATATTAAAAATTAATCCATACTCAATGCTTTTGAAATCCTTAATGAATATTTCACAATTTTCTGATTTTTGCATTGCGCTTAGAAGTGATGCTGGTTTAGATCAACGAGTATATAATTTACCAACTGTAACAGAAGTTGCAGGTATATGGGTTCAACATGATATCAATAACTCTATTCCTTCACCACATATCCGTATATATATATACAATTATTGATAGAAGTCAACTGGTAAATTATGGCTGTTACGATCCATTACAGTATCCATTGTTGTTCCCTTACGGTCAAAATGGATGGCATTGTGGTATTAAAAAATTAAACATACTACTGATAAATCAACAACGTGAATATACTGTGAACACGAACAATTACCGAGTGTAATAAATATGTGCTCAATTAATAGATTGCTCGATATGGAAGCTGAAGTTATGCAAAACGGAAAACGAAAAAGAAACACAGCTTCTTGTCGTGAATATTACTGTTACAAACTTCAAATAAGAGATGATGAAAATATACTTTTACATGCTGGCAGATTATTTCAACAATATACTGTGGATGAATGGATAAAAATTGAAAGCCAAAGATTAGACTTTGATTTTTAAATCAAGATTTATTCAGAGTTGATGTATTAGGTGGGCTCTTAGATGTCCTACGCTGTGGGGAAAGAGAAGCTTCACAGGTTGAAAAATAAAAAATACTCCCACTTAGCTTTACGGGAGGCCCAAGAGATATGCGCCGAAGGTATATGGATGCTATTGATTAGTGCAACGCTTTGGAAAACCTGATATATTTTTGACTATGACCTGTAATCCTTCTTGCCCTGAAATAAATGAAAACCTCTTGTTAATAGATGAAACACAAAATAGATTGGATTTACTAAGTCGAGTATTTCGAGCAAAATTAGAAGAGTTGAAAAAGGATATTGTCAAAACACAATAATTTGGCAAAGCCGCAACATTTATGTATACAGTGGAATTTAAAAAACGGGGACTTTCACATGCTCATTTTCTTATAATCCTTGATGAAAAATATAAGTTACTAGCTCCTGAAGCATATGACTGTTTTGTATATGCTGAATTACCCGATGAAAAAGAAAATCCTACTCTATATTCACTTGTTACATATCACATGATGCACGGTCCATGTGGAGAATTAAATCCAACAAATTCTTGTATGAAGAATAAACTAGGTCAATGTAAATTTAAGTATCCTAAAGAGTTTGCAGAACAAACAGCTAAAGGAAAAAATTTGTATCCAATTTATAGAAGACGGAACACAGAAAAGAAAGTGAAAATTGGAGGACACCTTCTTGATAAATCATGGGTTGTTCCTTATAATCCATATTTACTTTATAAATTCAACTGTCATATAAATGTTGAGATTGTTCTGATATTAAAGTTGTCAAGTACATTTATAAGTATATTTGCAAAGGACATAATAAAATTGCATTTCATATACATGCTAATGATACAAACGTAAAGATAGTTGAAATAAAGGAATACCAATCTGCTAGGTGGGTATCACCGCCTGAGGCTACATGGCGTATATTTACTTTCCCTATTAGCGAAATATTTTCAAATGTATATCATCTTCAGCTACATCTTGATGGACAATAACTTGTTTCCTTCAAGAGTACAAACAATATTAGTAAAATTGTGAACAATCCTATGGTTAAGAAAACAATGTTAATCGAGTTCTTTTTAATGAATAGAGAAAACAAAGATGCTAAGAACCTGAATTTATTATATCGAGAATTTTCCGAATACTTTGTATGGTCATCAACATATAAAACATGGACACACCGTCAACGAGGAAATGCTATTGGTCACGTTGTGACATGTCTTCCAACTGAAGGAGAAAGATACTATCTTAGACTACTTCTAATGAATGTAAGAGGACCAAAATTATATGAAGATTTGCGAACAATAAATGGAGTATGTTGTACCACATTTAGAGAAGCTGCAGAAAGAAAATGATTACTACTTTGTGATAATAATTTGATAGAATGCATGTCTAAAGCTGTAAGTTACCAAATGCCATCCAGTTTAAGATAATTATTTGCTATGTTGTTGATCTATTGTAATCAAACTAATCCAAGAGAATTATGGGAAAAAATTGAAAGCCCAATGTCTGAAGATTTCAAAAGAAATCCGAATGTAGAAGCAAGGGAAATCTATTACAAAGTGTTAAACCATATTAATAATATCCTTCATTCAATGGGGCGTGATACTAATGAATTTGAACTAATTTCAGAAGTGATAAAGCCATATGCAATAGCAAAAGAAGCTAAAGATATTCATTTCGAGAGAAATATCATTGTTAGTGATGAAGATTTACTGTTGAAAAACAAGTTAAACATTGAACAAAGAAGAGCTTACAATATGATTCTCGATAGAATATTTTCAAATAGACTAGGGGAATTCTTTATTGACGGTCCCGGCGGGTAAAAGCTTTTTATATCGTGCTTTAATAGCTACTGTGAGACACAAAGAATTTATAGCTTTAGCAACTGCAAGTTCCGGTGTTGCAGCTTCACTTCTTCCTGGAGGTCGAATTGCTCCTCCCGCTTTAAAATTCCCATTGATGTCAACGAGAACTTCAGCTGCAATATTAGTAAACAAAGCTCATTGGTGTCTTTAATACGAGATGTAAAACTAATTGTATGGGATGAAATTTTAATGGAAAGCAAACGGTGGAAGCATTTGATTTGCTTTTAAGAGATCTAATGGAAACAAAAATACTATTTGGAGGAAAGGTAGTTGTCTTTAGTGGTAATTTTTGACAAACTATTCCCGTAGTTCTTAGTGGTAAAAAGGAAGATTTTATTCGTGAAAGTTTATTGTGCTCTGAAATTTGGAATCAACTTGAAAAATTACAACTATTTGAGAATATGCGTGCTAAAACAGATCCTGCCTTTTGTGAATATTTAATGAGGAGTATTAAGTCCATAAATCTTACCTCCAAGTGTTCCTCCTTGATTCCCTCTTCAATCCTCTTCAAAAAGCTCTAAAATCGCCCAAAAATGGTGAAACTTAGGCTAAAAGTCGCGAAATGGGTCTTTTAAACATTCTGCCCAGCTATTTAATTCACTTAATCGCGATCGCGGGAAATCCATCGCGATCGCTAAGCACAAACTCCGCGGGCCCAACATTTCACTCTACGCGATCGCGTATATACCCACGCGAAGGCGATGCACAGGGTCTTACACCTACGTGATCGCGAATGAACCCACGCGCAGTATCTTACACTCACGCGATCGCATCACTATCTATGCGAATGCGAAGAATAACCTGGATGGCCCCCCCACAAATCCTCTACGCGATCGCGAGCCTCCTCACGCGATCGCGATGAGGAAATACCTGCAACAGATCTGAAGCAAAATCTGCAACATCTCAACTATGCAATTGATCCGTTTAACCACCCGAAACTCACCCGAGGCCCTCGGGACCACAACCAAACATGTCAACATATCCCATAACCTCACTCAAACTTGTTCCAACCTTCGGAACGCCCAAAACAACATCAAAACACCAAAATCACATCGAATTCAACCCTAAGAATTCCAAAAACTTCCAAATTCCGCTTTCGATCAAAAAGTCTATCAAACCTTGTCCGAATGACTTGAAATTTTGCACACATGTCACAAATGACACAATGGACCTACTCCCAACTTCCGAAATTCCATTCCGACCCCTATATCAAAATCTCACCTATCAACCGGAAATCACCAAAATTTTAATTTCGCCAATTCAAGCCTAAATCTACCCCGGACCTCCAA